AGAGACAAAACTGCTTACCATATATGAGAGAGAAGTCACAATACATAGGATAGAAGTATGGGCATATTCATAACTTCAAATGCATAAAATAGATTACCATGCGGACGTAGAGGTTTAGTAATAGGACATGAATGCCAACAGCTGTCATTCAGTGATCATTTCACTACAATTGTACTGAGGTCCATGAACCTACATATGAACAAGGGTGCTAAACAAGGAGCATGTTTTTAGCACACACTGCTTATTTAGTTGAACAGCTCCCCTTGGCCATTCGTCTTTGTCCAGAAACCTTGTAAAATTTTCAATAGCAAATAACATAAATTGCATTGCCTGCTATGTATGAAAAGGCGAAGAGGTATTCTTCTCTATCTATTTTTTGGCTACAGTTCCAGTTTTTGACTTGCAACAGCTCCAGAAGTCTCTTATTGACAGCCTTTTAATATGATTTGTGAGCTAGTCATTGTTCACCACGTCATTTGATTTACTGAGAAATCAGTTTTCTATCAGTGTTGCATGAACCTTGTTGTCTAAATGACTTAAAGGCTTTTTCCAGACAATTTTATGGTATAGATTCCCTACAACCACTGGCGGAACTACCAGGGTCGCAGCGGTCGCAATTGCGACCGGGCCCTGGCATTCCGCCACCTGGGGCAAACTGTATAATGATTATAAAGCAATGCAGAATAGCACCAACTATGTAGAACTACAAGTCCCAGCAATGCATTATATTGATTTCAGATTTCACTTCAACTGATGACAAATATTTAATTTACAAACCAAACTGACCACTTCACTTTTTGTTTAAGAACCAGGGAACAAAACATATACATACAAGTATGCCTCAGCATAGAATACTTATATGCTGAAGTACAGACATCTACCAATTATCTCCACAATATCAGGCAGAGATTACAACACTGCTTGGGATTTCAGCTCAGAAAAGTGTTGTTAGTTTATTACAGGAAGTTAGGTGGTCTCTGGATTTCCGGCAGATCAAAACAGGTATTTTTCTGCATTTGCAGCATTTTTGAAGAGACAAAACATGGGGAAATTTGCTGAACATGGTTTTTCCCCAAACTTATGTACACTTTAAAAAACAGTCTAGTTATTTCAGGAAAATAATTTATATCGCTATACAAATTAGGTTCCATTCAAACCTATACTTTAGGTACATTTAAGGATTCCTGTGTCAGGAACTTGCGATTTCCTGCAGCAAGAATCCCTAATCTGCTGTTTAGAAGTGGCAGCTGTCACACATTCAAGTTAATAAATGGACAATGGTTGCATTTGAAAGCGGCAGAACGCTGGCACACCGCATGTAATCGTATGTGATACAAATACATGCGGTTAGGGAGAGATCAGATAGTGATTAATTCCTAACCACATGTAACATAGGTGTGAATGAGGGCTTATTCTTCATATCTTCATATCATACAATTATAGAAAATGTTATATGATTCTTGTGATCTTTTGGATTAGTGATGACATTTTATCGATGTGGTTTCAAAGTAATTGAATGAAGATAATTAAAGGTAGTATTCATGTACTTTGATATAGTTTCTATGTTGTCCATGAAACACACCATTCCTCATCTGATGTATAATGTCTGTTTACATTGAACTTATCTTTAAAAGTTAAGAATTTAGCAGACACTCCTTTAAAGAGAACTCCAGGAAATTATGTTTAGAAAATATAGAGAGGGGGAAGGGTACAACTTTTATTGCGATCTGTATTCCCAGTATTTCTTACCAACAGAGACCCAGATACAAATAAAAGCTTGGCAGAGGTTGTAATAATTTTGCATTCTATCCAAAGCAAGTTTTGTCTGGTGTTACACTTTAAATATTCTTTGAACTCTAATTGGCCCTTTAACCACTTTGGCACTTGACAACAGTTCCTGCATTTTCTTGCCCCTTTGGCTATAACCTCGCCTGTACTCTGGGCCAGCTTGAGGGATGTCCGAGGTAGCCATCTACCATTCCCTCTTGCCACAATAACAAGATTTGAACTACCTTGCAAGTATTGGAATTTGCTTTCCAGTACATTACCCCCCAGACACTTCACCATCATGGTGCTACCAAAGATGCTTGAAGATTTCTTTAGTAGTACCTGTGTACATGTGTGCTTTAATTTACTCTTCCATTAAAGCAGCCATACATGATGAATAACCTGTCACATGAAAGAAATGATCTGGTATAAATGTGTGACAAGTTGACAATGTTTAGGGCGCAAACAATGGCAATGAAGAACTCTTGAAGCCTGAAGTCAAACACAAATGATAACATGATCACACAGAATCTACTGTCTATTGCCTGTCTACCCATAAATGCCCAATTTCTTTAGATCCTTTCGGGGGCTTTTGGTGCCCCTGTGAAGCAACACTGCCAATAAAATTGACCGTATATCAATGTGAGTTTTCACTAATCCCAACTATATGTGATACGTTTAAAAAAAAAATCATCACATATTTTGGATGTCCTAATTGGTAAAAAAAACTAGAGCAATAAATTGATACATTGTTGGAGATTATAGAATAAATATGCAGAATGCTGGCATGTGTGTGTGCGTGTTGGCATTCTGAGAATTCTTGTCCACATGCTGTCCACTTCCAATATAGTGACTACAGAGAAAAATGGAAAAAAAGAACAGTTTACCCAATAAATCACAGCATGCGTATCAGATTAGGAGTGAGGCGGGGTTGACTTATCGTTATAGTGTAATAATGACAGGCATGCAATCAGTGATATATAGTTATGTCTTGTGGAGAGAGACCACACACACATACACAAGAGCTATGATAAGGGAGTACAGTATGAATGAATTCACAAGGACAGAAGACCTCAGGGCAGTCTCAGTAGAACAGAGTATAGTTTTACACTGTTCCTCTGTTTATGCCATATATCAATGTCAGACATAAGAGCCTATCCCCTACTGCTCCTGACTAAAGATGAAGAGGAGGGCAACATTGTCACTATGCACTAAAAGGAAAATGTGTTTGATTTTTTCATGTTAAACACAGAGCATGATTAATAACAGCTACTATGATCTTAATTCGGGTTAAAGGATACCTCAGGGGCTGTTAATCATTATAATTATTAGATTCAAACTAGAGAGGGTTAGTGTTTCATATTACACTCTGTACTTTGTTCAACTTACACTGGAAGATCCCAATGCATAGTAACCATAACCTATAATTTATTGAATTAACTAAAAAGTGAGGGGAGTCTAAATGTTTTAAAAGGATGACACTGCAGTTCTCTCAAAGTCCAAATGATAATTTTGGTCAAGTGGGAAAGGATTTAGAAGTTCTGTCAAGTTTTTATGGATAAGTAAAAGTTTATTTAAGTGCAACAAAAGACCACCAGGTAGCAAAAGGAAACCAGGAAGCTTGCAATGAACTGTGCTTTACTGAGAAGCAAGTAAATATAAAGTCACTATAGCATGTACTCAACTCCATTTGTGAGGGGCAAACCTCAACGATAAAAGGCAGGCAGATCAATCTTGATCATGTCTTGTCACTAGGATCATTGTTTGTAGAGGTGTATAGCTAAAGTGCTTCTGGACAATTACAGAATATAAAGAGGACAATGTAATTGCATGAAATGCGTTGGCTATAAACCTTTTTGAACAATTAACACACCCATTAAATACATTGATCCACCCACCTTTAGACATTGAGGTTCACCCTCCATTGTGTAATTGAGTGCTTGCTATTTTGACATTTCTTAAGTTTTTATTGATGTCTATGGTTGGAAAGATTCCCTTTAACTTCCTATCTCTCTGTCACAGAGGCAGGTATGGATTGGAAATATCTCCAATGGAGACAAAAACAGCAATGACAATGACTTTTTTAGTAGGGTGGAGTAAGGTTAGATCCTTCCCACATTAACTATCTCTGTCTAAGTGGGCAGATAATAGTGTTTGCCAGTGATGAACATTATCACTAAAATAGGTTTCCAGCAAAGACCATAGTTACCTACATAGATAATCTGGATAAAATTACCATGCATGAATAATTAAAATGCCTGGGCGACACCATAGGACTTATCCTATATAACAACATAAACAGCACTAAGCCAAAGCAATTAAAGGCAACTAAAGCTGATATGACCACAGTAAATTAAAATCAGAAAACTGCTATGTATTAATACACTTTGAACACAATTTCTGTTCATTGCAACAAATTACTCAACAATACCAAATTAATTGTTCCATTTTTATTATTCACATACTGTGCAAAGTTACCATCTTGCCTATGATAACTATGATAAATACCATGCCATGCGTACACAATAATACAGATACCTACCAATACTTGCATGACACCTCAAAGAAATGCAGCTACTGGAAAATATATATTTATTGCATATTTGGTTTATAACAGCAGGTACCTGCCCCTTATGTTAGCTCTCATGCTTCCTTTGAAACAAATTCCTCTTAACACAGAAGGTCCTTAAATGGAATGTGATGAACATGGGTCAGTGCTGCATGCCATCAAAGGGGGAGCAACGGACAGTTGAATATGCCTGCTTTGTGAGAGCAGTAAACAAGTGTGCCTGAGGTATGCACTAAATAGAGGGAAGTTGGAAATGTCTGTTTGAGGCAAACATTAAATGAAAGGCAGCAGGGCATGTCCACCTGAAGCAAGCACTGGGAAACAGGCAGTTGAACACATCTGCCTGTTGCAAGCAATGAATGGCATTAACTCATATCAAGAAAAACAAGTTAATCCTTCAATAGAGGTAAAGAAATATGTGCATCAACACAGTTCAATCAAATGCATTTTCTATGAATGTTAATGTTGATTTTGTGATGTGGTAGCCGCCAGTGAGCACAGTGCCAAATCATGAGAACTCTTGCTGTTAACATTTATATACTAATACTGATGACACCTAGGCTTTCTACTGATCCATCGATATAATAGAAATATATGAAGATAGCTAAAGTTCAAACATTCCACACAACAGGTTAAAAAATGTGAAATAAACAGTAATACTCACCAAAATATCCAGACATGCTGCTTTTAGAAGCGTGATCTGATCTGCAATGGTCAAACTGGTGAATCCAGGTAACCTCTTTGCAAATTCCACTATTTTAATAATGCACTTTGTTGCAAGTTCACTAAATTTATCCCAAAGCCCAAGGTCTAGCCGAACACGGTGATCAGCACTGGAATTCTGCAGAAGACAACAATTTGAGAGAGTTAGCTAAGTCATTCTTGTTGAAACATATTAAGATGTTTACTAGGACGTCATACCTACTTTGAAAAATGCACTTGAATTCTAATTGTACTCTTCATTATAGACCTGATCATTATTTTGTATTCTATATCTAGCACAGTTTATGACTCCAGCTGTTATGTAACTACAGCCCTTGTCACAATGACAAAACATGTCACTCCAGGTCAACTAAATAGTTTACTAAACTCAGGATAACACAGCAACATACACATACAGTATATACCCAGTATATTTTATTTTTTTCATCTTAATTTTATTTTTACATATGAACATTTAACATGATAAACAAAGATTATTCAATTCTTCTTAATTCTATTATAAAAAGAGGTCAAAGGTCACATACAAACACATTTATTGAGCAGTATTTTGGACCTGAAAAATGTACATAGAAAATGACAGATACTTTTGTAAATCATTTATAGTTACACAAGATTCATCATCAACGGAAAATATACCAACTCTACACAGGCCTCTTCAAAGAAAACTTGAAAGGGGACAAGAGACATGGGGTTAGGGATGGGGCAGAAACTAGGTCAAGTAATTATGAAGTCAGGCACTCAGCCTTGGCATAAAAAGTGAATGGTATAATGAACAGTACAAATGCATAATAAAATTCGGGATAACCTAAAGATTAAAACTGCTTCTTATAATCGCTACAGATTCTACCATTACTACTAATGTTCTTTTTGTGGGTTTTTTATTATTAGCATTAGTGGCTAGCAAAGCATTTCTCTCAATAAACTCATATGCTTTGCCTACAGCTTTATTTACCATAGACGCACAATAACTAATTTGAGAAAAACTGTACAGAGAGCAAGAGAGATACTACGATTTACAAAACGTATTACTTTGCTAGCATACAATATTGAGTATCAGGAGGAAATGGGCTACAGAACTAATGACATGACATGGAGCAAATAGGAAATAAAGAAATAATCTTTTGAAATGTAAACTTGACTTCTGGGAAGTGGCTAAAAACAAAGTTGAAATACACATATGGAAACAATACTACCTGTCTAAGGATTTGGAAATCTGTTCAGTCCTCCACTTACACTGCAGTAGCATAGTTTGATCAAAAACATATCCCTAACCTTCTGATTGGACAAAGAAAGAGCAGCAGCAGTATCTTGCTAGTCAGCCCCGCTGACTGTCAAAATACCTGAACCATCTGATTGGATGCAGGCATTGTTCAAGTGTTTTGAGAGCCAGCGGGGCAGACTAGCAAGATACTGAAGCTTGGCCCTTGGGAGATTCCTCCAGCCACACGGTTTAGCATAGATGGGGGAATCTGTTGCACTTTTTCCATCTGACCATAGAAAATCTACAGATAATCTATAGGTGTATGGCCAGCTTTACGATGTCATCCTCCTGCTCTCACCTTCTATCAGCAGATGTACACTGCAGCAAGATTGTCACAGAGCGCTGACCTTCCCAATCTGGGTGCTACTGTGCAGTGGATAACAAGCTGTTATCAGGGCAAATTCAAGTTTATTAAGGAAAAGAAAACTGGTGCTTTATCTATCTCCCTGGAGTTGAGGTCTAAAGGTTTTTAGCTGCAATTTGCTGTTTAAAGAAAGCAGCAATTCAATAATGAGCTATTATAACTGCCCACACAATAGCAATTTTATCTTGAAATATTCACTGCAGGAACTAGAGAATATACCAGATGTGAACTGGTGAATTCACTGGATACATCCATCCTAGAAAGCGCTTCATTCGTCAGGCACAACAATTAGCAGAAACTATTAATTCATAGCACAGTTCACTAAAAGCTAATAAGGAGTGCAATAAGTTTAGCTGAGTCTTTAATTTGACTTTTGCTACAGCAGAGAAAAGTCTAAGTGGCTACCTAAAGTAATTCAAAGGCCAAAACTTGTTTTTTAATCTTTAGATATCGTGTAGTAAATGTTTAAAGCCTCTGTCAGGTGTTTATTGCCATGTGCCCCCTCTCTTTGTCTTAGTGACCACTGTCATCGGGACAGAAAGTAATGGGAAATCCTACATTTTACAGTTGTACATGGAAAAATAAGTGAGGGGAAATCTTCTAATGAAGACACCTATTCTGGCCACAACCTCTACATCAACCTCTACAGCTCTACATTAAGACACAAATAGCAAACAAAGTGCTTAAAATAATTCCTCCCTACACTATCCCAAAATGTTCTAGCTTTAGTAATACTTAAAGGCATTAAACCTTTTGCTATTTGTTATTAAATCTGGGGCTTTGTCATGATTCTAACTCCTAGTGATGAGCTGTGTCGCATGCTCTAAATGCAGCCAGTCCAGGCTTTCTCTATTCTGGAAGGGAAACATTTGCACTGCAGCAGAAGCTGGACAGTTAACACTTTGGAATAGGAAACATCCATCTATGTGAGTAAGTGTTCTAGATATTGGGCCTATTATCATTATGATGGCACTAGGTATAAACTTGCCTATGTGTAGTTGTAGAGGTCTTGCCGTGTCAAGTTCAGAGCAAGACGGATGCATTGAAACAGCTTCACCAACAATTACTTTCCCCTCCTTACTGCGTATAAAGCTGTCATTTCCATCATATAAAACCCCCGCCATGGCAGCTGATAAAAATCAAAGCTTTGTGATGAGAGTGTGCAGGTTAAGGACTCTTCTGTCACAAGATTTATCAATGCAAAGCAATGGCTTCTGAAATGCTCTTTTTCTAGAGTCTGGGGGTAGCAGGTTAACAGTCGCCTCTGTGCCCGTTAAGACATTCCTCCCAGTAAGTGAGCGTGTACATTCTTCAGATTTATTTTATTTAATCCTGAAAGACCTGGGCAAAATGCAGCCCATCAAGAGGAAATGAGATCAGGGAAGGGAAAGAAAAATCAAGATGTGCAGTCATTCGGGCTGTAATTAAATTTAATAGCCAGTTTATCCAGTCCATAGAAATAGTGCATGGTAAAGAGATACACAATGCAGAGCCTACAGCAGGAAATCATTTGGCAATAGTTTATCCATCTGGAAAAAAGACATTGCATGAAACCAGCAAGTGTGAACAAAATATTCATCAGTATTATATGAGATTACTTTATCATGCCATTGAGTTTGACACATATTCTATTACACATAATGCACAGTGTCCCACACAAAATGCAAATGTAATAACCATACCTAGAAGAGAGATGGAAAGGAGAAAATGTCTATATATTCCAGATAATCTGTTGTTGTAATGCAGTGTCTAATTCCGAGGCATTAAGAAATATAACATAGAAGCTTCTGCTTGTTTTAGAAAAGCCCGCTGTGGCCTGTGATACTTTAGTAGGTGCTATTGTCACAGAGAAGCTAGATGCCTTAATGGAAAGTCTTTTTGCATATATTACTGATGTTTGGGTCTAGGCAGAGTAATTCAGCTTGTAGAGAGATTATTATTTTGCATGGTATTACTTGACATAGAATGTAAATACACCTAATTTCTATTAGATGGTTATTGCATCTACTTTCACGAACCCATGTGCTGCTAGGAAAATAGCATAACAAAAATTCTGACAGAAGTACATTTACTTATAGGACTGCTAGAATGGTTTAGGCAACAAGTCATAGAGCACATCAGACGCAGCAGTTCTTGGACCATTTCATCAGCCTCTTTTTTTCTGTACACTCGTGACACACATTTTGTATTGCTTTTTTTTTAAATCAAAATGTATCTGTCTTCACTGCATGTCTTCACTCATATAGTGAAGTCAGCTTCCTAGTTTGAAGGTCACAGATACAAGGGACAATTATGCTGGTCAGTGAAAACATGGTATATTGATAGTCTGTTGCTGGTGTAAATGATTTCACCGATCTTTGAAAAAATGGTAAACATTAATACCCATGAATCATACCTAGCAGTAAGGGTCCACCCCTGCGGGACTCCTGCCATTTGGTCTAGAATGCATTCTACAGCCGAGGCAACACACAGCTTCTAATAGCAAGCATTTGGGTTTGAATGGTCATAAGAACATCCAGAAAATCTGCTTTGTAAATCATTACTATTACCAAGCCATACATATATGAGTAGATATAGCTGAAAGTAACTCTCCTTAGCAAGAAGAATTGCTAGAAAATGTGTATTTTTCACAAATGAATTCTTATTATTAACAGAGGTCTTACCCTGAATATTACTACTCATACCATTGTCTGCTGGGGTTATGAGGTTAGATTTTTCTGCTCCATAAAAATCCTCGGACTGTGCAGAAAAAGTAAGCAGTTAGAGTAGAAGGGTAGGAACCTCCCCTTAAGGTCAATATCAATGGACAGAAGATTTTTTAAGACTGTTTCTATGTACACATGAAAGCTAATAAAACAAGCACTATTACATTATTCAGCACTATTGTTTTAGTTGGTATTTACAAGTTCAAGTAAGACAGGTCATCTTGAATTCTGGTCCAGCACTCACAAGAGTATACTTAAAATGCCATTCTGCCCTTTATTCCCTTTTAGGGCTCATAATAAACTGTGTTCAGATCCATACTGCATAGTTTTATATTGATCTAAAAGCAGTATTGTATGTATGCTATGGACCCATTAAGACAGCTGCATTTTGGTCCATAGCGTTTTAGCTGTGTGAACAAAAACAAGAACAGTCTGTGTCTGTGTTTGATGCAATGAAATTTGTTTGAGTGTTTATATGCGTAACATTTAGAATAAGATTTTTGTCTTACCTGTAAAATCCATTTCTTGGAGTACATCACAGGACACAGGGAGTTAATTTGTGAATGAATGGGTTATGCAACTACCTTCAGGTTATCGGACACTGGCAAATCACTGTTAGTGCATTCCTGTAAAACCCCTCCAACTCTCAGCCTACCTCCTTAGATCACGAAGTAGATCACGAAAACACACAGTGGAGACTCCCGTGTCCTGTAATGTACTTCAAGAAATGGATTTTACCGGTAAGACAAAAATCTTGTTTTCATGATCATATATCACAGGGCACAAGG